GTGCCCCCCCCCCCCAACACACTCCTGGAGTGTATGTATAAATGCCTTCTAATGTGAGGTACTAAATAAATGCACATGAGGCTGCCCTATTGCTCAATAGCAAAAGTGCACTCCTTTTATTGATCTTAATATGTAGTAACTTATTTTTACTGTGCTTTAGTGTATTAGCATGGGTTTTTATGCGATACTTTAATGAGCAGTAAAATAGGTTACTGTGCACTAAAGCGCACATGTAGACATACTCCCTGACTGACTAGGAAGTGAGTGAACAGGGATAGCAAACAGGGCAGTTTGCAAATCAGTTTGCCACACCTCTCTTTGAAAGGGCACTTTTAAGATAAGCTCTTTAAGAGTAACTAACCTAGCTAATTTACATAAGTAAAAGCTTAGCAGTTAGGTCAATATTTAAGTCCCTTGTTTAACTAGAGACCAGAGCGAGTGGGGAGTTCACTAGGGAGTTTGCCTTGAAATTCACTTTCACCTTCCTTCATTGTAAGCTTGATGAGAGGAAGCAGGTTAGCAGGGGAAAGGGAACATTTTGGGACCAAGGAACAGTGAACAGGCCATCTTACAGGGGTGTTTGCTAGGGAAGGTCAGCATGAAGAGGGGTAGGAAGAGATAAGTGGCAGATTTAAGAGAGCCATAGAGATGGCTGGAGGATCTTGCAATCCCAGAGCCACTGCCACTGCCAGGTCTTCCGTGATTGAACCTATGAGGTGTCTGTTTAGGCCAGACCACTCAACATCAAGGCTCTCACCCAGGTCCTGGTTGGTGCTTGGAGACTGCACCTTGCAGGTTCCTTCCAGTGAGAGCTAGGTGGAAGAGCACCTGCAATGTGAGCTGTGCCATCTGGTGGTTTCCCTTAGGTAGAAGGCAAGAGAGCTACAGAAGGAGGTGGCAAGACTCTGAAGCATCCTCAGCCATGAGGAGTTTTTTAATTCAATGCTGGAAGAGATCTCTAGGACTGCAGATAAAGGACTGCCAGAGGCGGTGCTGGAGAAGGAAGAGAACATTGACTCCCAGGAAGGTAGAAGTTAGAAGCTTATAACCCAGGGCTGGTCCAACCATTAGGGTAACTAGGCGGTCTCCTAGAGTGCCAAAATATTGGCGGGGGGGGGGGGAAATTATATGCAGAACAAAATAACAGGAACATCATTCTAAATAACAGCCCTGGCCAGCTACAGCTACAGCTTGGTCTAAGACCTTTGGTTTGGTAAGGGGAGAAAGACCTCTGAAAAGATCTCAGAGGAAAGATCTCTAGAATCATGACTCTTACCTTTTCAACTATCAAGTGGACTTATGACAAGAGCATACCACCTGCAATGTCATCCTAAAAGATGAACCCCTACTCCTATATCATCTTACAGCTCGTGACACTGATTTGTTACACCTTCCTTGTCCCTTCCAACCACCCTTTTTAAAATCTAAAGCACTCTAGATTTCATCAGTTGTGTTTAACATTTTGTCAAGAGTTAAGATGACCAAAATACTATGACTCTGGGTACAGATATGTATTGTGTTCATAATTCAGGAAACAGGCTTACAGGTAGGAATTTCTTGGTCGGATTTTGTAGATCTCATTAAATTTAAATGATGTAGAACTGAGGTACAAATGTAGTTATTATTGTAGGTACACCTGAGTGGTCATGTTTCATATTCTCAATTTTATAATGTCTAGAAATGGTTGGAGTAGGATTGCTGAATCGTTTCATTTAATTCTTGTAAGAATGCATGTGATTTTTTAAAGTAAGTTGAGCTAAGGGTAAGCCTTTGTGGACATATAATGGTTGGATAGTCATGTGAGAGATACATAGGCATTTAGAATATGTGTGTTAATGCAAAATGAGTGCTAATTAATTGCTAGCAAGCTCAAGAGATATTCTTTAATTGGTTATATAACACCTGTATCATTGTTGTGTAAGGAAACAGTTGTATGACTGTGTATACAGAACATGTAAGGTTGGTGGACCCAGAAATCTCATGGGATATGTGAGATAAGTTAATATAATTACTCAATGGACAATGACAGTTTACTTTACAGAAGACCATGCTAAAGAAGTGTTAATTTGCTGGGAGAACCTGGCTATCTACTAGATAAAAGGTGTCAATTCGTAGAGTACTGTACACAGGATATAATACTTTACAAATCTCCTTGATAAACAGGAAAACATCTGCTTGACCACAGTCTTGACCAACATTAGATAACCAGTTACCATATTTACACCCTTAGTCATACATCCTAACAAATAATTTCCTGATTGCAGGGGTGGTTCACCCATTAAGTCACTTTAAGCAGTGCCTAGCCATATTTCTTCCATGATAATTTAATCAATTGTCCACATTATTAATATCATCACAGTCAGAATTTTCTTTGAAAGTGTACTTAGATTGATTGTTCTTTATATTAATAATTTATTTGAAACAGTTTAAAACTGTTTCAGGGGAATGGTACCATGGGAGATAGTAAAAAACCATCTGGAGCTCAGTATTGTAAATGAAAAGCTGAATAGGCAAAAAAACAAGAAAAGCAAGAGGGTTCCTTCCTGAAATATCTTCGATTTCACCCACATCAAGATGCAAGCAGTTCATAATATCAAGATGAAGGCAGCTCACAGCATCAAATTGACATTGAAATCAAGAAAATGTATTCACCTACAGACACATGTTCAACATGCCATTGGGAAGTTCTTTGTTGCCATGTGCCTTCTCTAACTGTGAAACTGTTGAGTGAAACAAGATGGGTGAGTCGAATCGATGCCTTGAAGCCTCTTTCATAGTTTCATAGTTTCTAGGGTTGGAAGAGACCTGAGCAGATCATCAAGTCTGACCCCCTCCCATGGCAGGAAAGAGTACTGGGGTCAAATGATCCCAGCAAGGTGTACATCTAGCCTCCTCTTAAAGACCCCCAGGAGCAGCACCACTTCTCTTAGAAGTTGGTTCCAGATCCTAGCCACCCTGACCATGAAGTAGTGCCTCCTGATATCTAGCCTAAATCTATCCTCTGCCAGCTTGTGACCGTTATTTCTAGTCACTCCTGGTAGTGCTTGGGGGAACAGGGACTCCCCCAATGCCTGCTGGTCCCCTCTGACTAGTTTGTAACAGGCCACTAGATCCCCGCTCAGCCTTCTCTTGTGGAGGCTGAATAGGTTCAGGTCCCGTAGCCTCGCCTCATAGGGCCTGCCCTGCTGCCCCCTGATCATGCGAGTGGCCCTCCTCTGGACC